AGTTCTCAGCTGATTTTTTATAAGCTTATGCTAATATTCATATGAAAGTGGAAAGGACACAAAATAGGCAAACCAATCTTTAAAAAAGAAAATAAATCACTACACACATATTAGAAAGACCAAAATCTGGAACACTGACAACACCAATGGAGCAACAGGAAGTCTCACACATTGCATTGCTAGGAATGCAAAATGGTACAACCACTTTGGAAGGCAGTGGTTTTGATGGTTTCTTACAAAACTAAATATACTACCATGCAATCTAGCAATCATATCCCTTGGTGTTTACCCAAAAGAGTTGAAAACTGTATTCACACAAAACCTGCACATAGATGTTTACAGAAACTTCATTCATAATTGCTAAAACTTGGAGACAACCAAGATGTCCATTGGTAGGTGAATGGACAAATAAACTGTGGTCCATCCAGACAATGAAATATTATTCAGTGCTAACAATAAATCAGCTATCAAACCATGAAAAGACATGAAGAAGCCTCAAATGCATATTACTAAGTGGAAGAAGCCAATTTGAAAAGTATACATACTGTATGATTCCAACTATACAACATCTGGAAAAGGCAAAACTATGGATATGTTTACTTTTTATGGAGTAAAAAGATCAGTGGTTGCCAAGGGGCAGGGGACATAAACAGACAGAGCACAGAGATTTTTAGTGCAGTGAAAATACTCTGCATATTATAATGATGGCTATATGTCATCATACATTTGTCCAAACCCATAGAATATACAACACCAAGAGTTAACCCTAGAGTAAACTATGGACTTTGGGTGATTATGATATGTCAATCCTGATTAATCCTTGGTAACAAATGTACCATTCTGGTGACTCATGTCAATAATGTGTGGGGACAAGGGTTATATGGGAAATCTCTGTACCTTCTTCTCAATTTTGTTGCAAACCTAAAACTGCTCTACAAAAAAAAAAAAGGAAAACAAAGCTGGAATACTCATGCTTTCCAATTTCAAAAGTTACTACAAAGCTATAGTAATCAAGACATTGCAGTACTGGCATAGGATAGATGTAAAAATCAGTGCAGTAGAATCAAGAGTCCAGAAATATATCCTGAATAAATCTGAAAAGGAAATTACAAAAACAATTCCATTTACAATAGCATCAAAATTAATAAAATACTTGGGAATTAACTTAACCAAGTAGGTGAAAGACTTATACAATGAAAAATAAAAAACACTACTGAAAAAATTTAAAAAGACATAAGTAATGGAAACATATCCCACATTCATGATGGGAAGAATTAATATTGTTAAGATGTCAATACTGCTCAAAGAAATCTACAGATTCAGTGCAATCCCTATGAAAATCTCAATGCCATTTACACAGAAATAGAAAAATCTAAAATTCATATGGAATCTCAGGTGATCCCAAATAGCCAAAACAACCTTGAAAAAGAAGAACAAAGGTGGAAGACTAACACTTCCTGATTTCAAAACTTACTACAAAGCTACAATAATCAAAACAGTGTAAGCACAGTCTTTTCAACAGATAGTACTGGGAAAACTGAGTCTCCACATGTAAGAGAATGAATTTGGATCCCTACCTCACACCATATTCAAAAATTAACACAAACTGGATCAAAGGCTTAAATGTAAGACCTGAAATAGTAAATCTCTTAGAAGAAAATATGGGGCAAAACTCCATGACATTAGATTTGGCAATGATTTTTTGGATATGATACCAAAAGCACATGCAACAAAAGTAAAAACAGACAAATTGGACTTCATGAAAATTAAAAATTTTGTGCATCAAAAGACAATACCCACAGAGTGAAAAGGCAACACATGGAATCAGATAAATATTTGGAAATCACATATCTGATAAGGGGTTAATATCCAGAATATATAGAGAGAGACAGAAATTAACAATTCAAAAATGGGCAAAGAACTTGAATAGACATTCCTTCAAATAAAGTATACAAATAACCAATAAGCAAAAATGCTCAACACCACTGAACATCAGGGAAATGGAAATCAGAACCACAATGAGATACCATCTTACACCCATTAGGATGGCTACTATCAAAAAATAAAAAACTAGAAAATAACAAATACTGGCTAGAATGTGGAAAAATTAGAACATTTGTGCACGCTTGGTGGGAACGTAAAATGGTACGGCTGCTATGGAAAAGAACATGGTTGTTCCTCAAAAACTTAAAAATAGAATTATCATAAGATTCAGCAATTCCACTTCTGGATATGTACACCAAAGAATTGAAAGCAGGGTCTCAAAGAGATATTTGTACACCCATGTTTATAGTAGCATTATTCACAATAGCTAAAATGTGGCAAACCAAGTGTCCATCAGTGGATGAATAGATAAGCAAAATGTGGTATATCCATACAATATAATATTAGTCAGCCTTAAAAAGGAAGAAAAATCTGACATGAAACAGCATTGATAAACCTTGAGGACATTATGCTGAATGAAATAAAGTAGTCACAAAAAAGCAAATACTGTGTGATTCCATTCCATATGAGAGAGAGTGGTCAAAATCCTAGAGACAGAAAAGAGAATGAAGGTTGCCAGGGGCTGGAGATGGGGGAGTGGGGAGTCACTGTTTAATGGGTCTAGAGTTTCAGTTTTACAAGATGTAAGGAACTATGAAGATGGGTGTGGTGGTGATGGTCACACAACATCATATGTGTATTTAATACCACTGAACTGGGCATTTAAAAATGGTTACAATGATAAATACTATGTGTATCTTAACAGTTTTTTAATTGGAAAAAATCCATCAATATAATACACTACATTAATAAAATAAAGCATAGAAACAACCACTAAATAGTGATGGAAGGAGATTGATTATAATGACTGATAATCTTATCTCCTTACCTATACAGTTTGTCTAAGTTCTTCCAAAACACGTCATTAAATTCCCCCACAAAACCTGCATATGGTTAAGTCAGCCTCAAACTCTGCCTGGAGCCAGCAGGGCAGGTTTTCAGAATTCCTGTAGGATGGTTGTAGAGGAAAGTGATGGAAAATGAAGTTGGAGAGGCAAATTGAGGCCAGATCCTAATAGGGCTCAACCACCCTACTAAAGAATTTGGAATTTAGCCTGTAAGTACCAGGTGCTACTGAAGGGTTTCTAGCAACAGGGTTTCTTGGTCAAACTTTATGGTCATATACAGTAAATCCCCCCTTATCCGTGGTTTTTCTTTCCAAAGTTTCAATTACCTTCAGTCAACTGCATCTGGAAGTGGATGACCCTCTTTCTGATGGTAGCCTAATGCTACCACACGATGCCTACTTCATTCACCTTGCTTCATCTCATCACGTAGACTGTTCCCATTAGAATGCCTTCTGCAGTGACTCCCCCAAATCCCATAGTCTAAGCCAGACAATTCTCTGCTCCATGGGTTGTTCAGCTATTTCTCCTTCTGACCTAGAATATGAAGTAGAGGACCCAAGAGGAATCTTAGCACTCACCACAGGCCAGCTCAAGGTCAAAGTCATTTTCTGAAGAGTAATATTTTAGTTTAATGCAGTGGTTGTAATTCATTGAAACACTGATGGGCCAGAGGTCTCTTGCACCTTAACCTCTCCCCCAGGACAGAGTGGGTGGTTTCACCTGGTCACATTCTAGGCTTACATATTTGTTTGTTTGTTATTGCTGTTGTTTTGTCTTGTTTTGACTCAGTGGCTCATGACGAGGCTCTTATTTTATGGTATAATAGTGATCAGTCTGCTCTCACCCACTCACCCCAGGTCCTTCACTGTCAGAATCCAGTGTCTCCAATCAAAGTACCAGCATGACTCCAGTCAAGAACAAAACATAAACTTAATTAGTGAAGAACTGTAATGTTTTTCAAGAGGGCTCATGGAAAAGACATGCTAATGAAGTCCTCTCTGGTACACCTTCTCCCTACTTCTTCAATAAAGGATGCAATTTGATCACAAGTTGATTCTACCCTTTTTAAAAACAATCTGAGTTAACATAGACAAATACAGCCAGCCCAGGGGACATGGGAAAGTAAAGTTGAATACCCACTTTGTCTCTGGTTCAAAGAGATTGGCCTGAGTGAAAGGACTCCTTCATCTGAGAGAAGGAAATACTCTGACTTTGGAGGCAGGCATGATGTCAATGTAGCAACTGCAAGACTTGATTTCACTGTGCTTTTATTTCCTCACCTGTAAAACAAAAATAATAGTTCCTAGCCCACAGAGTAGATGCAAATATTAAATTATAACACATCATTAAAGGATTTAGAAGAGACCTAGTTTATGCTATGCCCTCAATAAATTATTATTTATCATTTATTAGCTCTTATCATTATATCTGTAGCATGATGATATAGAAGGCTGGATGGAATTTTTGTTTTCCAAGAATTAGTGACCAGAGTCCTCCTGTGAAAGCAGAAAATGTATTCAACATTCTAAGTCCAAAAAAACCACTTGAGAGCTTGCTGGGGCGTGCTTTTGTGGGTCACATTGTGCCCCCCAAAAAGATATGTTGGAGTCCCAGGCCCCAGTACCTCAGAATGTGACCTTATTCGGAAATGGGGTCTTTATAGAGGTAATCAAGTTAAAATGAGACCGTTAGGGTGGGCCCTATTCTAATGACAGGTGTCCTTAGGGAAAGGGGAAATTTGGACACAGAGGCATGCATACACACTGGGAAGACCACATGAAGACTCGGAGAAACATGTGAAGACAAGAGGATGTGCATCTACAAACCCAGAAATGCCAGATTGCTGGGAAATCACCAGAAGTGAGGAAAAGGTAAGGACAGATCCAAGGTTTCAGAGGGAGCATGACCCTGTCAACGCCCTGATTTTGGACATCTGTCCTCCAGAACAGGGAGACAATAAAGTTCTGTTGTTCTAAGCCATCTGCTTTGGGATACTTTGTTATACTAGCCTATAAAACTAGCACAGGTGCCTTTTCTCTGTACTGAGCACTATATTGCCCCCACTCCCAAACGGTGTTAAGTTTAGGAAGGTTTATCCTCTCACCTCAGCATCCCACGGTAGGAGTGTGGCATTTGCAGGGCACTACTCTCTGAAGCTGAAGGAGCAGAGAAGCAGCTGTAAGGTTTGTGGGTGTCTACAGGAAGAATCCCATTCCCAGCTGAGAGTCTTTGAGACCTGGATGGAATTGGCTGAGCTGCTCCAGAGCAACTGGGGCCAGAGCTAACAACATTCAGAAAAGGCTTGGCTATGTAAGCATGCAGAGGGCCATAGACCAGCCCAGGAATTTGGAGTTTGCAAGAGGTAAAAAGAAGGACCCCACCACTGCCAGTAGTCCCCGGCATTGGGGACCCCAGAGAGAGAGGAGACCATAAGCCCCAGGGCTCCCGACAGTTGCTCTAGCATGGAGAACAATACCTATCAAAGCACTTCCGAAAAGTGCTGCTGCTGACGTCAGCAGGAAGTTGAAGCCAAGCTGCAAGAGAGGCCACCTCCACCTAAAAGAACTGCTCAGAACTAAATGGCTTGTTACTATAGACAGTAGAAACCTCCATGTACCCACCTAGATTGAAGATAGAACCTCCAGAAAGAGGACCATATCCTGACATGGGACTATATGCATAGGGAGTAATGCATGTAACAAACAGGGAAGACGGTCACCTCTCCATGAGCAGTCATGGTTCAGTATCTCCTTGGTGCCATTGAGGTAGGGGTGGAGGGTGGTCCTCAGCCCTCCCACCAACCATCCTACAAGCCAATGGAGCCAAAAGACTGGCCCACCCTCGTTAGGGCAGGGAGCAAACTTGGACTCAGATGTGAAACTGAAGGCTTAAAATGGCCAATTCTGAGCCTTAAAAGCTTAAATGAGGATGTTTTAATAACCAGAACTGAAACACTATAATGGGAAGCCCATCCACTGGCCTCCACTCACTGTAAGAAATCCCCATTTGTTCCAATGTATGAATTTGAGTGCCCTTTCCAGGTCCCACTGCCCAGCCTTCACACAGCAGCTTCGCACTACCTTGCGTGGTCACGATTCTCTGCCCTCTCATGAGTTCTCCTCTCCCATGAATAGGTATTCCTAAAAAATTTGGAATACATTTGTGAACTGAATTCTACTTTGTGATACCTAACACATTTTCTATCTCCTGCATTCCTGCCAGTGGGCAGTGGCCAGAGGAGGAATCAGCAGTCACACAGGCCGGCTCATTAACAATTCATGTGGGAAGAATTTAAGTGTAGTGTTGGCCACTGATCTCAAGTTCCTAAGAGTGAGGACAGTGCCTCTAAACATTTTAGCTCACATTCTGCTCACATTCTGACTAGTTATTTTTTTTAACTCCATTTGCATACTTTACTGCCCCCACTGATTCCTGATGGTATGCACAGTTAAAAGCATTCATGAGTCTCTGTAGTTTTACAAACGTCCTTTAGCATCTTTGCATAAAACGTGTCTCAATTACTATTAACAGAAAAAGGTAGTCCAAACCTAGGATAGAATTTCAGAAGTATTTTGCTGCCTGTCATGATGTTAGTTCTTGCCGATAGGCCTGCTTCCACTCATCCTGAAAAAGGCACACTGTAGCCATTCTTCAGCAAAGCGAGTACCATCCCATAGTGGGATTTCTGCAGAATTCTTAGCATGTCATTTTTTGTCACAGTGAGTGAAGGAGGTGACAAGTCAATAAAAGCATTTAGGAAAGAAATCCAGGAATGCTAGATTTGCTGTAATGTTCAGGACAGTCCCAGACAATGATGAATTGTCTCTCATGACTTTTGAGTGTCCCACCAGACATTCATGAAGAAGATAAACTTATTTATAATTATCTAAGACCAGAACTTAATGAACAACTTTCAGGCTTTATCCTATGTCCAAGTGCCCTGGAATGGAGCTGCCACGTACTTCGTTTTGTTGGGACTTCAGCAAGAGTGACTAACCATGTGAAATAATAGAAGAAAAGGCCAGGCCACCTGTGGGATTTAAGTCACCAGTAGGACACTCCTGTATCAGCCTACATTTCTAACTGTCTCATGCAAACATGTCACAGAAGAGATCTAAGACAGCTTTAACATAAAATGAATTATCAAATTGGAAAAAACACATGAAATACAGGGAGCTAATTTAATTTCATTTAATTTTTTTAAAAACAATAAAGATTGTTCTCAAATTGGTTCATATTATGGCCATCTGGGGTGGTGAATTTTATGCATCCACTTGAGTGGGCCACTGGAGGGCAAATGATGTTAATCTGGTGAAGCATCCTCACTGGGTATGTTGTAATAGTGTTTCCAGAAGAGAATGGCATTCGAGTTGGTGAACTGCGTGAAGCAGATGGCCCTCCCTGGTGTGGGTGGGCATCATCCAATCCACTGAGGGCTTGAATAGCATGAGAAGACCCAGGAAGGTTGAATTTGCTCTCTGCCTGACCGACTGAGCTGGGACATCAGACTTCTGCCCTTGGTACTCCTGGTCCTCAGGCCTTCAGACTCTGACTGGCGTCTACACCATCAGCCTCTGACTCTGAGACCTTCAAACTACACCCCCAGCTTCCCTGGTGCTCCAACTTGCAGACAGCAGATGACGGAACTTCTCGGCCTCCACAGTCATGTGAGCCAATAATAATCAATCTCTTTATACATATGTCTGAAATATAAAGAAATATAGACATATGCTCTGTTTCTCTGGAGAACCCTAATATATCATCCTATATGCATGTTTTAATATTTTATGACACGTGATAAAAAATCTCTCTGGTGATCATCCCATATTGAAGTTATGTATCTGGTTTTCCCTGTTGTTTTTCAATTGCATTCTGATGTTATCTGCGGGGATCTTCCACAAAAACTTCTACAAAACCTCTTTTATAACCATTTCTTCTTTCAATCTGCCCTTGATACCCCATTGCCTTTTGAAAGCAATGGCACCCAAGATCATATGAACATTTGTCTCAACGTGTGGCAGGATCTCTCATAGTGCATACATTTCCCCATCCCATGTCATAAATACAGGGAATCAACACTGTGTTTGCCCTGCTTAATGATGAAACTATTCCTCATTCTCTCTACATCAGCACTTTGTAATTGGCCTTGTCCTGGTCTGCCAACGTAGATTAACATTTTATCCTTCTTTCTTCTATCTTAAACTACAAAGCCTGTTCTTTTTTGATTCTGTTTATCACTTAGAGTAATAATTCTCATTCACACCTCTCTGCTCCTTTCTTTTTTTTTGTTTGTTTTTTGCATTTCTTATATAGATGGCTTCTGATTTTCTTACTTCTCTTAAATCCAAACTTATGATTATAAAAATATTCGAGCATCTAACTGTTATGTCTTCTAATATATTCAGCCCTGAAATTTACACAATGAAATAGATATCTTATTATAAATGTTTTTGCATGCTTTGTTACAGTGAAGGCCTTACACTGGGCTGGAAGATAGCAGGACAGTCCTGGTTTTGCCACTAACCAGCTGCACCATGGTAAGCAAGTCACTGCCTTTCTCTGTGTGTTAGTTACTTCGTGTGTAAAATAAGAGGGCTACACCAAAGAATTTCTAGGTTTTCTCCCAAATATATCACTCAAAATGTAATGTAAAGATAACATGCTGGATAAAGGACTTTACTTTCTAATTTCATGCTTTTCTTTTGACCTTTTTAGGAATTATTTTTGTAAGTTTTATGTACAGTGCTTGCTCTTCTGTGGCCTTATCTAAGCTCGCTTTTTAACTAGTGTTCTTATTACACAGTACTGGTGAGCAGTCTTTGACTTTCAAGGAAGCATTGTTCATCACCTTGGTTATGCAGTAATTTCCCTCTCCATCATATAAACACTATGTTTCCCAGCTGTGGGTGAATCATTCCAGTAATGTTTGCTTATGCAGAATTCAACATAGATGGAAGTATTAGAAGCCACAGGAACATCTGGACTCCCCAGATACCACTGAGTATTTAACAGTCGACATTTCTTGTACATATGTACAAAGAAGGAACTGATCTACAGGAAGGAGAACATTCTAAGCACATCTTTGGGAATTAACAGGGCAAGAGAAAGCCCATCCTTGTGTTCTAGAACATGAAAAATTGACTTAGCTCTATATCCCGATATTTGAGATTGAATTTCATGCAATAAAACTGCACTCCATAACTAAAAAAAAAAAAAAAAAATACTACAGTCACCTGTATGTGTTTGTCTTTTTTTTAAATTATTTTTATGACTACAAAGTATTAGTGTGTTGTCAATTTGCAAATGTTTGTTTTTTATAACTAGGAGAGAACCTGAGGCCATCACTATTAGATTGTCTCTCTTATCAAAAAAATTTTTTAGGCAAAGAAGGCTTTATGCTTTTAAAAATGGAATCCTATTTAAACTTGTATTCCATACCGTATTTATACATTTTAAAAAATATTTACTTGGGATGCCTGGGTGGCTCAGTTGGTTAAGTGCCTGCCTTCAGCTCAGGTCATGATCCCAGGGTCCTAGGATTGAGTCCTGCATCAGGCTCCTTGTTTGGTGGGGAGCCTGCTTCTCCCTCTGCCTGCCCTATCCCCTGCTTGTGTGTTCTCTTTCTCTCTGACAGATAAATAAATAAAATCTTTTTAAAGAATAAAAATTATTTATTTATTTGAGAGAGAGAGAGCTCATGAATGGGGGGTAGGGGTAGAGGGAGACAGAGAAAGAGTCTTAAGCAGACTTAAGCAGACTCGCTAAGCATGGAACCTGACACAGGGCTGGATCTCAGGACCCTGAGATCACAACCTAAGGCGAAACCAAGAGTCGGACCCTTAACCAACTAAGCCACCCAGACACCCCTAGATACTAGTTTATTTTACAATTTCCAAGTGTAATCTTTACTTTCAAACCACAGCTTTATTACTTGGTGTTTCACTTGGGAAGTTTCTTTTCTAACTAGAAAATCATTTAAGATTGAGTTATCTGACAACAATTTTTCTAACTTATTTAGCATATTTGTACAAATTCTGAAGTGTAATTCACGATTTGGCTCTCTTTGTAAACAGTGACTACAAAGTCTGTATTTTAATTTTATCCCAGCCTGGAGAGATTTTCTTAAATATTTTTTTTTCCTTTTTCTTCTTAGGGGTTTTTGAAATCCTCTAACCTTTTTTGTATAGAAGGGCTAAATAATTTCTCGAAGCCAATCGAAATGGAGCTCCAGTGTCTTGAGACACTTTACACCTGGACTCTGTAATGCCCTCCAAGGATGGTCCAT